AATTGAATCTCAAAATTAGGTTTTCAAATGCTTGAAAATTAGCCTTATTTGGTGAAAAAAAAGTGTGTTTGAGCCCCCTTGTGTTCGTCATAGCTCACTGCAGTCTTTCTTAGAAGATCAGCCTCCGGGTTGCAGCTGAGGCCTGCACAGGACCCTGAAGCGAACCTCAGAGGACTGGGAAATGTGCAAAGAACCAGACTGGTGGCTTCCCAGCTCTTCTGTTTGACCCATTCCAGACTTGTAGTGAAAGAAGCTGGGAACCCAGAACGCAGGCCCAAACCAAACTGAAACAAGCAAAAACAACCCAACCCAAAGACCTAACCAAACGAAGCAAGCCCGAAAGGCTGCTCTCTGGTGAAGGCCTAAGAGGCAGCAGCTAGGAAGGCAGAAAGTGAGTGAATAACTGTGCCACAGAAGATCACAGAGGAAACTGCAGCCACATGCACCCTGCGCCCAGAAAGCCACCTGGAAACCTGGCCTCCCACTGTCCCCAGCAGGGTGCTGGCCTCCTGTCCAGCCACCTCCCTTGGCTGCCTCAGCGGAGTCCAGGGTGGACAGCTCATCCTGTGCAACATCTGTGTAGCCAGATCCTAACCCTAACCCTGACCCTAGCCCGTGGGCTGGCTCCCGAGGAGACTCATTGGAGTCCGGACCTCATACTGGCTGCTCCTTCCCCTTTGTCATTGGAGGCCATCGAGGAGAAGTGAGGAGACTCCTCTGTGCAAGATACCGAGAGAGCCTTCCATGAGAGCCTTCCGGAATGATTCAGCCAGGATGCACATGGCGGGACTCCTGGATGCTCCAGAAACCTGGATAAAAGCTGAAAGCAGGGAGGGAGAAAAGGCATGTCAGCCTCCAAGGTTCCTGATTGCTGCGTTTCCTTATTCTGGGCCTGGGCTGAGGCCAGGGTGAGCAGTGGTGGAGGAAGCTGCTCACTCACTGGAGGACTGCGGTCCCACGCCCCTCAAGGCCGCACCCAAGGGCAAACTTCCTCCTGCCAGGCCCCACTGCTAGAGGCTGCAGCACTTCCCAACAGCATCACGGTGGGGACGGAACCTGGAACACATGGGCCTTGGGGACACTGCACACACCTGGGATGAGACCTCAGAGACTGGCACCCGAACCGCCTCACTTTGTAAAGAGCAGAGAAGCACACGCTTTCCGAACTGGAACAAACCCAAGATGAAGAACAATGATTAAAAATGTGAGTTGCCCTCCCCATGATTAACTACTGGTAGATAGAACTGGCACCTGTATAAGAATCTTACATTAACCATTTTTCATATTTTTTACATTGAAATTTAGAATGCTGAGTCGCTGTGCTGTTTGTTACCTTCTGTTGGAGATTTGTGGGAGTGAATCTGGACAGAAACCTTGGAGCAGATGAAAGAGCTAAGTCCAAATTTGAGGCAGAAAGTAAAGCAAGAAACTAAAGATGCTTCCAAGAGCAAAACAGGCATTAGAGTCCAAAATCACAGCTTCAGAACCCATATATTTGGAGTAATCAGACTTAGCTGAAGCTGTTACAAAGGTCGCTCCAAACCTGGTCGTGTCCTGTCATCTGCCAGTGAGACCACGGAGCCTTGGACTCTGGGTGACAGTAAGCACCAACTTCCGTTTGCCCAAAGCCGGGAACCGTAACAGCTTCAGGTGTGGGAACAACATAGTATTGGCGAACTGTGTGCCTTGTGGGGAATTCCATCAAATCTGTGTGCTGTGTGTGCACATTTCTGTACATTGGCCTTTCTCTCAAATGAGGTGATCTTTTCCTTGCAGGAGAATCTGAGTTTCTAGGATTTTAAAATTTTAACCAAATGAGTTTTTGTGAACCCAGGACTAGATTGCAGCCTACAGAGGTCCTTGTATGCCATGAAAATACTAAAAATACTTAGTGGACAATATCCTAGAATTCCACATCCAGTGCTGCAGTCAGATTTGACATGCTGAATCCAGAAAGGGGGCATTATTGGCTTTCCATGAAATTGCTCAACACTCATGATTCCTAGGTGATAAAGAAGACTTTCATTCATTTTTATTTATTTTGCAACACTGGGTAGTGAACTCCGAGCTCCCACATGTAAGGCAAGTGCTCCATACTGACTCCAACCCAAACATCAAATTTAATTAGATGAACTTCTACATTAGCAAGGAATAAATTTAAGACACTGTTAGACTTTTTACTTCAGACTCACTTTGGAAGTTTTTTCTATAAAAGCTCTTCTAACCCTGTTTCATTTGATGTGAGTCACACCATCTTGAACCAGAAGTAATGACTTGAGGGTGTGGAAGCTCAGTGCTGAAAGGTAGGGAAGCACAGGGACAGTCTTCTGTCCTGTGTGATAGTCCTCCCCTCTTTTACCTCTCTTCGGCTGCAGACAATCTTTTTTCTCCGTGAAGGATCTACTCTTCTGGGTTGATTTAGCTTGGCTGTGGAGTTTCCCAGTCTTCAGAGCTGTAGTTCGTGGAACTGGGTGGTTGAAACTTACAGGAAAAAAGAAGGTGACAGCTCATTCAGAAAGGCCATGAAGCTACATCTAAGGCAGAGGCCGGACGGGAGGGACACATAGCAGGGCTCCAGCGCGGACTTAGGTTTGGTTCTAAGAAAGAAAATCTTCAATAGTCACAGGGAAGGAGAGAGAGAAGGGAGTGGGGATGTGTAAGGAGAATTTCTGTGAATTAAAAGTAGGACCACCGAGGCTGGGAGTGTGGCTCAGTGGTGGACTCTGTGCTTCACCTGTGCGTGCGTGTGTGTGCGTGTGTGTGTGTGTGTGCGCGCGCACGCGCGCGCGCTGGTTCGAACCCCAGCACCTCCGAAAGGAATCTTCCGATATTACTAATTACCTGCGGGGGAGGCTGGAGTCCCCTTTAAAGCCCTGTGCTTCCTGTGTTCCCCATGGCAACTCCTGGCTCTCGGGGAAATCTTTCATTCCTTTCTCCTGCTTGGGTGGAGAAGGTCTAGGCCCCAAGGCAAAAGGGCAGTTGCAGAAGTTTTACAGAATGTTTAAAAAATAAAACCTTTTAAAACAATTTGGGATAAAGACCCGGTGTTTAAAATTCCAATTTGATTCATCCATAGGATAAAAAAGTTTAAATTCCAATTTGATGCAACTGTAGACTCCAGTGAAGACATCTAAAATTAAAAAGAACTAGAAGAACTTAAAATCAAAAAGAGAAGCTAATCACAAGAGTAAAGTACTGTTGAATGTGTCATGGATTTCTAGAAGGAACTAGAACATCAAAATCTCACATTATTTATTGTTCATGCTCTACAAGTAGTTAGAATAATGTATATTTTGCTATACAAGTTTGGTTTTTTTGGTTAACTTTTCAGTGGCCTCCATGATGTCCTGATCGAAGCAACCCCTTTGGTTATTCCCAGAGTTATGTGGGCAGAGTCAGTCCCCACTAGAAACGGAAATAGTATGGCCTGGTGAGCCCTTGACGACATTCTCAGCTACTTGGGAGTCTGTGCTAGGAGGATCACTGAGCCAGGGAGTTTGGGGCCAGCCCGAGCAGCATATAAGATCCTGTCTCTTAAAAACAAAATTCTGTCACCCCAAACAGGAAACTCAGGCAAGCAGCACTATCACAACTTGATTCCTTAATTTAATATTATAAT